ATATTTTGAGTGTGACGTAAACGGTTACTGAGCTCAAGCAGTAAACTTTTACTTTTTTAAGTCAATAGGAGCAACACTTCATCCATGAGCACTTCCCTATTGGAGTAAATTGAGCGAGGGGGTAGCATTGTCTATCTATATACAGTCTATGCAACCCCCATGCAACCTACGCACAATAAACCAGTATCCACGGACATTCTGTGGTAACCATGGCTTCCAGCAGCAAAACTCTGACCAATCACTGTCTGTGAGAACACTTTTGTACCAGTTTGGCGAGACTAGAACCAGGATCAAGAAGGTACTAAAATGTACCTCACAACTGTGGAAACGCTCCCAATCAGGGAAGAGTAGAGCCGTGTATAGCAAAGTTGGGCAAAGTAGGGTTGGTGGAAACGGGGCTTTGAGATTATAATGTTATGGATCACCTGTAGATTTGAATATTGCACTATAGTAGTTAGTATTGAGTCGTATGGCAAATATACGTAATATGCCACAAAACACATGTCAACAGTGGCCTTTACGGCAAGCAACACACCCTCTACGATCATCAAAATTTATTTCAGGAATTGTGATAGGGCAACATAATTTCGTTTTTTAACTCATAAGAAAAGTCATGTTTCAAAAGGATGACAATCACCAGAAATATTCACTGGAGGGAAAGTAGTTAAACCAATGACAATGGGCTTCACGGATTTGAATCTATATCATCCAATCAGGGAGCTGCAGATGTGAGAATGGGCGTGTCTAACCAGTTCTTGTCTCCAGAAAGTTCCACTCACGTTTGCCGGTGGAAAAGCAGCGGGCATTTGTTTTAACTTTAATGTTGTTCTATTAATTTTTCACGCCCATTCATTTACAAACGCTGTTTAAGTCCGCAAACTCAACTTGTTGGTTTGTTTGATTGCGTTTATGAAACATCAATAAGCAAATGAAACCATGTCCTTCCCACTTCCTTCCACAAAAAACGGTGACTATAGATATTTCAAAAGACATTTCAAATACCAAAAAATAAGCACGAGTCACATAAAATCCATGCCGTTTGCCACAAAAATCCTGCAACATCGTCCTCTTGTGGTCGGTACGCGTAAGCACTACACTGGTCTATATATGAGTCTCCCTCTCTCTTTCAGACGGTAACAGCTTTGAGACATGGTCGGTCGTCTCTGAGGCTGAGCTCAGAGAGAAGCTGGTGATGCACAGAAGCAGCAGCAGCAGTTTTAAGTATTCAAACATCTGTTATAACCATCGCTAAGTTCATAAAAATACCCTTAAGCAGTGATGGAATGGAACACTTTCCCAGGTAACAATGTAACAAAGACAGAAAAGGTATAGGGATTTTAGACGTCTGCAGATTTTTAGTATATTTTTTTATGTTTCAGAGCAGAGCAAGTACTTTCTGTTGAATTTTTTAACTGCAATATACTTTCATGACAACTTCCTGCAATACAATTTGTTTGTTTAAGTCCCAAATTTGAGTTAACAAAACAAAATAGATCTACATATAATTTGCTATGAAATGAACCAATTAGAACCCATTCAGGAAATTGACAAAAGTTCATGAAGTGGTTACAAATAATGATTGATTGTTACTTTTGACTCTTCCAGTACTTTCTGCATGGACATATGAACAATTTTAGTAAGTTTTCCTTCTTGTATCCCATCAGAAATACAACTGTTGCGCCCTGCTCGCTCTAGTCATATCCTTCCCAAATCAGCCAAGTAGATTCATCAGCAGCTCAGCGCATAAGCAGGTTTTATCTGGTCCATTACTGACCGTTTCTGACGATTAAAACACGTTAAATGCTCTGCAGCCGGCTGTAAACGTCATTACCTGTTTGGCAACTTGAGACAGGTGGAAATAAACAATCACTGGATGGCATTGTAGATGTATATGGCACTATAACAAGAGATGCATTGATGCTGTGATTTCACATATCGGTCGTATAAATACAGTATTCATATTACACATTTAAAGATATGTACATCGAGTCACTTCACGAGTTTTGCAGAAAATAAATACTACATTCTTGGATTAACCATCGTCAGACTTTTGCTCAAGTTGTGTTCTTAGGGCGAGGACACTACAGGCGAATACCGTGAACTGGATTTGTTCTGAATGTAGAATCATGGAGAGAATAAATGAACACTTTTTGAAGTCATTCCACACTTTTGTAGCTCCCTGTCTGTGAGACTGATGATGCAATCTACTTGCTGGGGTTTAGCTAGGAACGATAATAACACTGTATTACATATGAATACATATTTTTGTACCTGCTGTCATTTAAACAGTTGTGTGATGCTAGTTTTTCGGTTTGTGAAGTCAGTTAGACTTCAATATTTAAAAAGCCAAAACTAGCAAAATCTCACCTAACAAATGGCAACCCAAATGAGGGCCTCATCCTGCTCTCTGATTGGATATACTGCTTGGACATTGTATAATTACTTGAGAATAACAAAAGATCAAACATGATGATGTGTCCTGTTATCTGTAGACACATATCGAAAAAGTAATTTAAAAAAATGAATATATTAAATACTGTTCCTTTAAGAATCAATTATTCAGTCAATAGTTTCCAAAACAATACTCATCTGGTCTTTAACTGTACAATTTGAATAACATTAAAATCACACTGAGCGACTTGCACCCCTCACAAAGGGTTCATCATCATTATCAGCTGATTTTTTTCTTCAGATAATACGATAAATTACGATTTTTGCAAATATGGACCGATATCGATACTAATCCCTGCGCTGTGTGAAATGTGCAATAGATAATGTAAAGCTCTAACCACAATGGGTCATAAGGGGTTTCAGGCCTCAGGGAGAAACTCGGAAATATTTAAGCAAGACGTTAGGAAAGTCCAGATGAAAACACAGGTTTCCCTTCATAGCAAACAGTAACTTTACAATAGATTAATACCACGTTTCACCTGTAGTGCCCTCACCTTCCCTTTCATCTCCAGAGGAAAAACACGGACAGAATAAAAAAGATCAAATAAGCGTCTCGATTGTCAAAAGCTGAAAACATTAAAGCTCTTTATGTCCACGTCTTTTGGAGCCTTAATGTTCGTCACTTGAAATAACTACTCGACTACAATACAACAGAATGATATACAGCGCGACAACCAGATCTAGAACGGTGATAAAAATGCAAATAAAAGTAATTTAAGTTCATTTATGCATTTCTGTCAGTCCACCTGTGTCAACAGTTAACATAGATGTCCAGTTCATAACATGGGTTTTTGTTAGTAGTTCATTTAATGCCTTTTGTAATTGATAACATTTTGTAATGGGCCTTTTTCACAATTCACCATTTTATACTTTTTAATTCTATAAAAGGTCAATGTGTTGCGTGTTGATTTTCCCAATTAATCCATAATATTTACATACATTTTTATTTTATATTGTTTTTTTTTTAAATTGTAGTAATAATAATTGTGTTTTGTGATTAGATGTTTTGGGGCCAACAAATCAAATCCAATGGAATTCATACATGTATTTACATTTTACACACCGTCTACTCTTTGTGGGTTGTCAAAAAAAAAAAACATTAAAAAAATCACAGTAATGTTTATGTACATTCTCCAAAGGAAACGCTGTGATTACGAATAGGTTTGAATATTTGTTGATTGAGAATAAAAGACAGACTAGGCACTTTGGATTATGAGTGTACTGTAGAACATGATATTTTATAAATGTATAGTTCTCCGCTTTCTAAAATTGTGGCACTATTTTTAAATCAAAGAGCTGCTTTTAACGTAAACTCTTCTTTCCGTACGTCGTTTTGGCACTACGTTTTAAAAAATACTGTTTATTTGTGCAAATTAAGATCTCAAATGTGGATTTCCTGGCTCCTTAAATGACAAGATCTACAGATTTGGACTCCAGTTTCCTTTTGTCGAAAAGGTTTTCTTTTTTTACAATGCTGTGTTATTATGAAACAAAATTAAATTAAATTAACAAGACTTTTTCCCCTAAACTAGACACAAAAATTCACTATTTACAAAGTCGTATTTTTGATAGGTTTTTTGACATACTCTGTATTTACGGCTGATAGTAAAAAAGATTAGATTCAAAACAATGTGTGAGCTTTTTGTACACGCAAAAGGCGAAATGTTTGGTTGAAAATTCACTTTGGACTAAATCACTACAGAGTCTGGCAACATCTTGCATGGCACTTGAAGCACACAAATATCTTACACACACAACAGCCAACGTCACCCCATATTTTACAGAATTTCAGCTGCAATTTTGCCCCGACAAATCCAGTAGAGAGCAAACCGGTATAGAAATTTGGCAGATGTAACAAAGTCGAAGAAGTGCTCTGTCTTGATTTCGACCTGTTTCGATTCGGAGCGGACAAAAAAACCAAGAAGTAGGCAAAGGTGGAATCGTGACCTACTTTTAAATACATTTCCACACACAGACTTACTAGCCCTATTACTTGAGTAAATTATTGTATCCAAAAAAAGATCATATACGGAACATTACTTTTCTGGATTCATTTGACGACGATAATTTGTACTTGTGTCACTATTTACAACAATAATATCTGCATGTGTACAATCATTTCAAAGGGATTTCAATTGAACTGTCTCTGTTGTATGAATGAAGACTAATTTTATGTAAACTATTTCTGTACGTTTTGAAATATCCTTTAATTCACAGCTTTACTCTAGTAATAGTTTTGTTATTATTTTAAATTTTCTGTCCACCCGCCTCTTCTTAATTTAAGCCCTCAGGTAGTTTAGTTATAAGTTAGAATACTTATGAATGGGGTTTGGTTGTTATTGGCCGCTATAAAAGTGTATGTGATTTCAATGCTGTATCTATATATATTAAAATCAAAACAAAGTATTTTTTGTGAATGGGGTTTTGCTGTTGTTGGCCAGAGTAAAAGTGCGTGTGATAGTAATACTGTTTCCACGTATGAAATCAAAGGTTGTATAATTGTGTGTTGTCGTTTTGGTTGATCTCGCGGTTCATATCTCACACGGCGCTCAGGTGGGCAGGCTCATGTTGGCGCTCTCGGCCAGTGGGCTGGACATGCGGATCTGGGAGCTGCTCTTGCTCAGGATGGAGAGCTGGGTTCCCCCGTTCACTCCGCTGCTCGCCAACGACGGGTGCCTCTGCTGCTTCAGGTCCACAGCAAAGTACCGGTTCACCGTCCAGCTGCGCCATTTCCTCTTGATCTCCGACTGCACCTTCAGGCAGAAACTTCACAAGGTCATTTTAATGTACCACAGGCTGCAGGCGTGGCCCCAGGGACACCAAGCACACTCACAACACCACGTTCACAAGCCTGACCAGCCAGACCCATCTCTGCTACCAGCGTTTCATAGTGTGCAATAATGTCAGACAGTAGATGGGTCTGGCTGGTCAGGCTATACTTTCATCACATTTTCACTGTTGCAATGGGATTTGATTGAATGTTCCTTGTCTGAAAGTACATACAGTAAGTAGCAGTGTAGTTTTAGAATATGCGGTACAGTAGCAGTGGACTAATAAAGTGTTGATGTGGGTTACGGGGGTCATATCTGGATTTACAAAGACAATATCCAAATGAAAACCACCTGGTGATCATATGGTGAGTGAATTGAAGCCAAAGCGAGTTGAAGCAAAACTTTGTCCATGAACACTTCCCTGTTCCCATAAGGCTTTTTAGAGTTAGCAGTGAGCATTGTCCAGCCGAACATTATGATCGCCATCTCCTGTCAATATACGAGGCCCCAGTATACAATAAAAATTAGAGGCCCCAGAATTCATTAAAATAGACATAGAGGGCATTGTTCGAAGCCTGTATTTAGCCGGTATTTATTTGTATTTATCCCTGCCGTTGCCTTTTATACGTGTGTAGTGATCAGCAAGGCTTGTACAAACCCACACAACAACAACACACAAGATGGCGCTATTCAGGTTACTCTTTGACACAATAACAAACCCATGTAAATGCATTGATCTTCATATACAGCCTGTGATAGTTCAAAGGCAATAGAAAGTTAAAACCAACCTTCAGAGCAGTCTCTATGGATATGAGTGAAAGGATATTTGTTGTACTGTGGGACATTATAGGTAAAACGAAAACACGGAAACAGACATGTGAGGAGGCCCATGTTTGGTCTGGAGAGATGCATGACTTCATAATTTTGAAATAATGTGTTTGTTTGAAAAATAACCTGATTAAAAATGAGCAGGAACTTTGACAGTACCTTCCACTTAATGCGTTGTTTTATTATTGGGGAATTAATGAAGCTAAGTTTTCTTTGTAAGAATGATTTGAAAAAAAGCACTGGAGAGGCCAAAGTAATATGCAGTAAGTATAACGTTGCTAAAGCTAAAATAAATAACTACAATTAATCTGGTGAAATAAAAAAAGTAAATTCAGTAAGTCGTGTGTTCTCTGAGTCTCACTAACATATCCTGCCTGATCTGTTTTCATAACTCTTGTATAATGTGTAAATATTCTTACCTCTCCGTTCAGGAAACAGTAGAGCACAGCGACAACAAAGCCCTGAGGACACAAAAGAAATGTTCTTGTTCTTTTGATAATCTTCATTTTAACAAACAACTTAATTATGTCTGAAAATACAGTTATTTTCTTCTTCTGTGCCAGACAATAGTAAGATAGCGATGTTGTTACCGTGACGTGTTTCGACGATATATGATATACGCACTGAAGAACAAAAATGGCTAAGAAGACAAAATGAACTTTCCAAAACAATGTCTGAAAATACTTCAGCTTTTAAACATCCAACACATAACAACTCCCTCGCAGCTAGGGTAATTAAGCATGTGTAATTAGTGATAATAGATTTTTCATTTAACATTTAAAATGAAGAGTTAAGATTTTTGGTTACAGTTGTCAAGTGCAAATGAAATCAAGCCATCATGACTAATATGTTCTAAATATAACTCCAGGCAGATAATGGATTAGAAATCACTCTCACAACACTTCAGGAACTCACTGCAAAACAAAAAGTCACTGCTCAAAACCCACCTTTGCGAAATTGCCTACACTTAACTGCTCATTTTGCTTCATCCCACCCCTTTTCAAACCATAGACTGTAAATATATTTAGACCTGTATTAGTGTTGTGAAGATATGGAAAGAAACTGTCTTCTGCAGGTTTTAAATAAATCTTCAGGGACGTGCAGTCAGGGGAGGCAGGGGAGGCAGAGCCTCACCTGCCATTATTGGAAACTAATAATTATTTTAGTTTAAATATATAATTTATATCCACTGTCCTATGCTTTTAATGTATATTCGGCACGGTTCCCATCAGTTTTGATCATTTCTGAAGTCAAAATCGCCGAAATCCCGTTATTCCTAATTCAAAGAGACGAGGTGAGGCAGCGCTCCTGCGTGCCTCACCCCAGACCGCTCCCTCACAGTGTGTGTGTGTGTGTCTGAGTGCACTCAGCTCGTGCAGTTGATATATCACCGTTTGTTTCAAATATGCTGCTTTAAAAACATTTTTTAAACTCCTCTTAGTGTTTAGTAGTGTATTGCACGTATGTGTGTACAATTTATATTTAGTTTAAGTCTTTTGATCGTAGATGAACACACAAGGAAAAAGCTTGGCGTGAGGCAGGCGGTATCTGTGCCTCACCGCTAGGGGTGATAGTGAGCATAAAGTTCATACCAGAGTTGCTAACAAACAATCAGCCCAAAATGCTATTTCTTTTGCTGGAAAATGGATGATTTGAATGAAGATTTTTTTTCTCAATTGGACTTTCAAACAAAGAAAGAATTAATATAGACTGGGAGACCCCCACTGGACTTACGAGGTTAGTCCGGCTGCGGGGGAGGAGTTTGTTAATCTGTGTTTTATGTTGAACATTGACAGATACCGGCAAAGTAGTGCTTTTCCGAAAAACACTGATTCAAACACTGCTCAAGAGTTCTGCAACTTGTTTAAATTATTGTTTATGTTCCTCGCGTCTCTCTCTCCTCGCGTCTCTCTCTCCTCGCGTCTCCGTCTCTCTCTGCTCCTCGCGTCTCCGTCTCTCTGCTCCTCTCTGTCTCTCTCTGCTCCTCGCGTCTCCGTCTCTCTGCTCCTCTCTGTCTCTCTCTGCTCCTCTCTCCTCGCGTCTCTCTCTCCTCGCGTCTCTCGCACCTGCGCTTCTTAAAGATGTTGTTTGATGCGGAGCAGAGTCAGCAGCTAGATTTGTTGTGAGATTATTAAAAGAAGCTGGTTCTCTTATCTTTACAGTATATAAAGTTTGTGGATGTCATTGCATTGGTGATTAAATGCTATTTTATTTGAATACTGATTGTAAATCTGACTTTTAAAGTCAGTGCCTCCCCAATCACAAACCTCACCGCACGTCCCTGCTTCGTATGAGACATTTTATACGCGCAAACGGATTGTGAATAAAACACATTTTCTCCACGGTCACACGCCTCCCAGTCCTCTGCCAAAGTGCATCTGCGCACAAAAAGGCCTAGGGTTTGCCATGTGTCAGTCTTTGCTTTTGCTATTGAAATATGAGGACTTGAATTTTCAAGACGATAGCATTGTTTTTGTGACTGGCTTAACTCTACTGAAACAGCACACTTGGAATCATCAAAGTACACGTCAGCAAGAATCAAGCAGCCATTTGAGCCCAGTTTAAACGTTTCTTCAAATTCACAATCAGGGCCATGGTGTAAATGACACACACAATGCAGGTCCTCAGCTTTCAATATATCAGATTTTGGATTAAGAAATGGAGAAACCACCCCCATTAAATGACTCGCGCTGGCAGTATGAAACCACCACTGATATACAGACATAGGACAGTTTGTGTTTACTTTGACAAAATTAGTCGCGCACGCACCTCTGTCTATTTTAAGGCCTTCTGCTGTCGATGTGATCACAACTTCCCATTTTATCATTAAATCACGGCCTAACAAGTTTACAGGACAAAGGTCAGACATCAAAAATGAATGTTTTGCTGTTGCTGGGTTACGCTCGTTTGCCCAAGTGCATTTGATCGGAACAGAGAAAGATTCCGGTACCGTTTGTCCACTCGCACTTGTGGAAAAAACACTTCTGCCACTTAATTTGATTGAGAGGTCCTTTGTCTGAATCACACTGTGGGTTGCACCAGAGTCTACTAAAAAAGTGATCGGTTTACCCTCAATTTCACAAACAATAGTTGGCATTTTCCTGTAAGCTTCATTTTCATAAGCCAAGTAGGTCCCTGTGTTGGGCCTGTCACCGCTCTCTAACTCCCTAATCCTATCCTCAATTAAGCCAAGCAGTGAATCAGTAGCAAGCGCGTCTTCATTGCAGTTAGCAGTTAGTGTGTTGTGTGTAAGAGTGTGTGCATTACTCATCTGTACAGTTGCTGTGTCAGATCCCACGTCAACCAGACATCAATCTGAAGAAAATCTCTGCTGGTCCTCCGGTCTCGCACCCCGTCCACGTCCACTCCAGCGTCTCGCATCTCGGCGTGGCTGGGGACAGTCACGATTCCAATGTCCAATTTCACCACAGTTGAAACATTTGTCCTGGTCGTCATGGTCACGATCGTTCTCGAAATGTCCGTTGCCACCTCTTCTCCGTCCTCTACCTCCACGACCTCCACGACGGAATTGTCTGCCCGTCATTTTGATCAACGTGAGGTTGGCCTGATGCTGGGCCGTCTCCTGCGCGCCAGCTTTCACAGCGTTCTCCTCAGTGTTCTTTATTTCAGCATGCTTTGCGTGTCTGAGGATTTCTGGGATGCGATTATCTTGCCAACCTCCCACCAAAGTCTGTTTTAGTGCGGCTTGGATCGGTTGGGGAAGGCCCTCGCAGAACGCCATCTTAAAGATCACCTCGAATGTGGTCTCAGCTGCGGCAGTGTAATTCTCTGGCTTTTGACTACCAGAGTGGGCGACGCACACATCCTCAAGACGATGATAAAAGTCCACAACTGACTCACTTGTCTTTTGAGAGCAGTCTTTAATCTTTCCCATATCAAATTTCACTGGGAACGCACGCTTGAGAGCTGTCACTATGTTGGCAATATATGTCTCCCATGCATTCGCCTCTGTCCATTCCGCCTGCAGGGCTCGCAAAGTCTCATAATTCTGTCGATGGACCGCCGGCTCTATCTTGGCGAAGCCCTCCGGTTTTAAATACAGGAGGAGAAGCTTTTTAACTTCAGCGCCCGTAGGACGCCATGCTTTGCAGAAGGCCAGAAATGCGTCTGCCATTGAATCACCTCCGCGGTGAGGGGAAGGCCAGTCTTTGACAGATTCTTTCATCTCCTGATCCATTTGACGCAGAACCAGAACGGGGGTTCCCTCTGGGCCAGGATATTCGATCATAGGTGCTTGTAAAGTTTTTCCATCTCTCAGTGTCATGCCATTGTCATTTAAAGTGATTTTGTCCATACCGTGAGTCAAACTTTGAATTTCAGCAGGAGCAGTGTGTCTGTGTGCTGCTCCAGACAGGAGGGGAGGGGCTGATGCAGATGCCTCTGGGGCAGGCAAGAGGAGCAGCGGTGGGAGGGCAGCTGACGCTGCTGCTGCTGCTGCTGCTGCTGCTGGTGCTGCAGGTGCCGCTGCTGCAGGTGCCGCTGCTGCTGCTTGATACCGGGGCGGGGGGGGTGAGAGAGCGGGGTACAGCGGGTTCCAATCATCTCTGGAGTTCCTACGGTCGTATTGACGTGGGATCGGTGGTATGCTCGAAAAAAAAGCAGATGGAGAAGAGTCAGTCGCAGATCCTACACATTCTATAGAGTCAGACTTTTTCTGTTTGCTGTCCCTAAGCTTTGCCTCTGCCATCCACACATTCAACCACCGTCTGTTCTCATCCAGACAATTCAAATCTTTCACACGTACAGTTCTCCCTTTTTTCAACACAGTTTCTCTAGCATCCAATTGCGATTTAATCTTGTTCAATTGGTTCAAGCTGAAGGACCCATTTTTGGGAAAACCTAATTCAGCCACCCACATTTCAGTGCATGTCCTAAAATCATCACCATGTTTCTTACTCATAAAAGTCATGCATGGAGAGCTCCAAACTGGTGACTCTGTGCCTTTTCTTCTAAGCCACATGGCTGGAATCTGAGACTTGAACTCAGATATTAAAAACAGAGACTCGAACTCTGCCCTTATCAGCAATCAGGACTTGAACCTTTGCACAAAACAGGACTCGAACCTGTACTACAACGAAAGGGACTTGAACCCCCCGACTAAGACTAAACTTAGATTTTTTGACAGGACTCCCAACCTGTTTTCACAACGAAGGGACTCGAACCCCCGACTAAGACTTGAACTTAGATTTTTAGACAGGACTCTAACCGTGTCACAACAAGGGACTTGAACCCCCGACTAAGACTTGAACTTAGATTTTTAGACAGGACTCTAACCGTGTCACAACTGAAGACTCGAACTTCAGCCTAAGACTCTAACTTAGGATTTATTTCCAACAGCCTGGATTAGAATGATCAGCACCGTCACCAGCTGGCAGCCAAACATGCACTGCACCCACAAGTGCCTCTCGGATTCACCACTGAAGCATAGAAAGTCAAATATTAAACAAGTTACCGTTTGTTTTCGTGTGAAAATCCCGAGAGGCGACGGTTGAAACTCAGCACGTCCGGTCAGTCCGCCCGTCCAGAGATATGGGAAAGCGACGAGATTGGTTTTGAATCCCGGGCGATCAGTCCCCCGAGCCGGACCCGTGTGTTCCAACGGTCAGCCTTCGAGACCACTTCTGACACCAAATTGTTATGGGAATTCTGATGCTTCAAATGAAATAATTCCGAGAGGAAACAAACTTGTCCTTTTGTGCAGTTTATTAACAGAAGTGATGAGTACAAAAATGACATTTCTGCGCAGAAAGGAGCCAGACAGAAACGGGACCTGGACCGATGCCGTGTCTGTCTGTTTCCCCAACAAGCGTGTCTATGATCTTATACTGGAGGTGTGTCAGACAGAACAATGAGCATTCGTCACAAGAGAGATGAGTCATACGCGGCTGCAGACGGGAAAGTTTGGGAGAGATACATTAAGCGCACCGAAAGGACCTTCGAATTTGATAAGAAGGAACACGCTGTGAGTACATTTGAGATAATGGACCTGCAGATGGTGACCAAGGCTATCGCTGAACAAGAGGCCCTTTGTGCTAATGTTTCAAACAGTGATGGGAAGCAGTTTCAGACGCTGGGAAACAAGACGCATGTATCGACCTAAATGATTAGAATATCTTGTGCCGGGAGCTGACCATAACACTGACCAGCCCTTTCATTTTTTATTCGACCCTCAACCAAAATAAGTTTGACACCCCTGGTCTAGGGTTAAGGTTAGTCTAGGGTTAGGGTTAGGGTAGGTATAGGGTTAGGGTGTTAGGGTAGGTATAGGGTTAGGGTACACTACTTATCACTCAATTAGCTGTTAATTTGCAAGGGCTAATCTAAAGAGTTACCGGTTGCGCTCAAATCTATATATTCTAAACAAAACGACTGCATAGGTTAAGTATGATTCGTACATATAAAAGACGTAGATGTAAATGAAAAAGCATGAAAATATCACACAATGTCCCTTTTATAACCAAAATTTGAATGTCATTATTTTAGGCTTGATATCTCATTGTGTTTGTACAGGACTTTGCTATGTTTTCCATGTGTTTATGCCACTGGGATAAAATCTAAGCCATAAATAAAAATGCTGTGAGCTAAAACATTTTTCCAGTCGTCTGGTTTGAAAGAAAACCCTTGCATTTCGATAAGCGCAAAGTACAAACACAAGATAGACTGCCACAAGAATGTTTAAATACACCACTCGACTCCATCACTATGGTTACATATACAGTATACAGTTATGTAATATGATTATATTGTTGTGGCACATATGAGGCCTGCGGTAACAGTTTACTACACACACTGCATACGTTCAGAAATACGTTTTCTATAAATATTGTACTCAACATTTCTATTCTTGTATCAGGATGAAGTTCTGTCACAGGAATTATTTCACAATCTGTTATCTCAGCTCTTTTGATCCTGGGTCTGGATGAGATACTGTACGCTTGCCTTTGTCAGTAATTTTTTCCGGACGCTTTTTTTTTAAATATTGTGGAAAAACGTCCCTAAACCCTAAAAGTAGTCACGTTATCATGTGTTTTCAAATAGTAATGGAATTGACCAGATGCCTATAGTCTCCAAAAAATAATAAAACATGATTTTGAGCAGACTAATAAAAATAAACCAATGGGATTCCTCCATCCCCAACGAACCAATGGGATGCGTTTACCCCCTTCACCCTCTTCCTGTTTCTCGCGAGTGTGCACACCTGAGTTATCAGATTTTCTAAAAACTATAAAGGCTGAACAGAAAATACAAATTTCACGTTTGCCACCCACTCTCCCTGTTGTGTTGGTTTGGTGGCGAGGCGAGGGGAGGGGGGAGTGGTTTCCAGTTGGTGCTACGGCTAAGCGAACAAATAAATAATTAAATAGAATATCAAATTCAAAATCAAATCAAACTATATTTATAAAACCCTTTACTACACTCAAGGTGACCAGCATGCTCTACAATAAACTCAGATAGAATCCTTAAAACATCAATGCAATCAAAAAATAAAACATTAGAAAATTGTCCCCACGCCAATGAGTGTTGAAAGTGTTTAAAGCCAGTCTGAATAAATGAGTTTTGAGCCTGGATTTAGAAAGGCCAAAATCAGTAAGGACACATTTATAAGGGGCCAGCTTGTTCCAGATTCTGGGTCCAGCGACTGAGAAGGACCGTTCATATCATTATAAGTTCAGAAAGAGCAAAATCACAAAAGTTGCTTAGTGTTATTATTACCGCTGTTTAAGGTGTTGAGAAGTATTTGAGTTTGTTTTTTTGCTATTTTGTTTGAAAACAACTTTTGCTATTGGAACAAACAAGTTATTTCTTTCATGTGAGGAATTTTAAAATGTCTCAACAATAAATAAGCCCCGTACTGAAATGTTTTTCATGCAGGCTGATGACAAATATCAAGGAATTGCGCAGAGGTAACTTTAACGACTAGTAAAATCATTCAAGGTTCAGGGTTGTCAGAAGTCACAAGTCTGAGTGATGATTCTGATCATGAGACAAATTGTTAACATTTTGTGTTTTTAACCATTTTGGAAATAACACATTCATTTGTTGAAAATCCAATTTGACAAAATCTTGTTGTAACGGCAGTGATTGTTCTTCCACTGGTGTAAAATATGTGTTTGTATGTGTATGTGTGTGTGTGTGTGTGTGTGTGTGTGTGTGTGTGTGTGTGCAGGTCTCCCCTCCACGGTCATCGTCCTCTGGGTGTTTACTCGATTCTTCTACGACGACAACGGGTACAACACTGTCTTGTTTGTCTTTCAGTTTGTTATCTTAATTGACCATATCAATATATTTTTCCAGCATTTTCCTTTCGATTGATAAGTCCATCCGTACCACTACTCTCTATTCTCATTCTTCACTTTCTCATCCATTATTAGCTAATACCCATGATGCACTGTTCTCAACAGAGAGCAAGTTCTACCATCATCGTGATGGAGCAATTTAAAAGCGACGTTTCTCTTTGTAAACATTACAGGGTTCTATAAGAGCAATACATTTCCTAATGAAGGTAACATTTAATTGATCTGAACGGTCTAGACCAGGGCTCACTGTAGCCCAGCTCCAGCTCTAATCACAGAGAAACAGCCCCCTATTGACCCTACAATTAAAGAAATAAAGCTGTGAGCTGCTATGAACCAGGACTGAGCCAGGACTGAACTAAGACTGAGCCAGGACTGAACTAGGACTGAGCCAGGACTGAACTAGGACTGGCTATGTAAATGTATCAGCCAACAAGAGGATAAAGAGCATCCCATTTCAGATAAGGGGCTCAGTCAAATGAATATAGTTAAATTATTTCAAATAATGTATGATCTAACCCTCGAGTTAATTTGGTCATTTTAAAGTAGCCCATGTGATTTGTTCATGTGGTAAAGGTTTGTTGGAGCTGAATATTTTACTGGTTCATTCATTATACAGGCGTATACAGACGCATTTCTGGCAAACATTACCATAAATTGTTACACTGTTTCAACACGAATGAAAACGTATATAAACCCTCTTTTTAAGATTTATGAGCATTTGGCGTGTCAACATGTGTTGCCTCCTCCACAAACATCCAAACATAGTGAGCAAAGTGCGTCTTGCCCAAGGCCACAGTGGCAGAACATTTGTCGCCTGTGTCAAGGATTAAACCAACAACGATGAAAACTGCAAATGTGATAATCCCATAACTGGATAAGAGCACTAGGTCGTTTCAGGGAGGGCTGTACACTCACAAACATGTAGTTACTATGTTTTGGTCATTTATATTATTCACGGACAAATGTTGGTCTAAAATTGACTGTGAAAACAGGGAAAAAAATACGCACAGCAATGTAGCTCCCAATCAGTGTCTTTTATTTACAGACCACGTTGTAACGTTTCGGGCTGAGGCCCTTCATCAGACATAAATCCCAGACACACCTGGTTGCCACTTTAAAGACCTAGTCACGTGAGCAAGAGCTGTCACGTGACTGATACTACATACAGAATACATACAATTATGTCTGATGAAGGGCCTCAGTCCGAAACGTTACAACGTGGTCTGTAAATAAAAAACACTGTTGTGCGGATTTGTTTCACTGTTTTTACGTTTTGCAATTTTTTAATCCAGCACGGTAGCCCAGACTATGTGCGGCCTTATTTGAAACTTTCTGAAATTGACTGCCCCATAAATTCCCCTCACTGCCAAAAGTGATGAAAAAAAAAAAATTAATAGCAAAACATTTATTTCAAAGATTTGCCAGTGGGACAAGCAAAATTATCTTGTTTTAAAAAGATTCAGGAAATGTCTCCCTTGAAATTAGAAAATAAAGAAACAGTTCCTGAAATTCAATTCAATCCACTTTATTTTTATAGCACAATTCATAGACAAGTTATTTGCAACAAGCAAAAGGTTTCAACAAATAAATAAATGCACATATATATAAAAATCAAATAAAAAACAACAAAATGTGAGGATTAGATAGCTATTTGGCCTACGTGCAGGACAACTGCAAGACTATACAAGGACTCTTGAGATTTTTCCGTTTTCTCTTTTTAAAAAAACAATTTTTTGTGTAAAAAAAAAGTCTTCTGTTCTGTAGATGTTACAGACAATTCCCACATCCTTCCACCACCTGTTAGAGATGACAAAGTCTGGGATCGTATCTTTAATTCAGACAGAAGACATGTTTTATTGTCAATGGTAGAGACAGCACGAACGCACGAACAACCAATGTTGGACAGCAAGTGATAATATACTCAGGAGAAACAGAGACCTCCAATCAGCAGCTGCCACAGTGTGCTTGTAGCTTGGCCTTCAGGAGATAACCAAAACAAGTAGGGGAAAAGCAAAGGAAGGTAGGGGAAGCAGGGGAAAAGTACAGGCTTCTGCACATTGGTAGAATGATGAGTTTAACTTTAACAACAGTTGCTTAAAAGTGTTATGAAATCTCACAAAAACAAAAACACAGAGGACAGAGAAATAAGTCTAAACGGTGTGTTCCACTGGCGAATCTAGTTTTAAGACAGTCAGAATTCAGTCAAAGTAACTCAATTCAATCTATTTTCACTTCCTATTTCATCATTTTTAGCAGTTCACGCAGAACCCTAACCCATGGATTTCAATACTATCTTCTCATTGGTCCATATCATGTGCTCTGCCTTTTAGAGAACCATCACACACATCTTACAAACTACACTACTTAACAAGGAGACAGCTCTATTGTAACTCCACCATTTCCCTGGACAGTAATTCATTATGCAAATGTGTGCGGGCTCCATTGAATACTAACCAAGTAATAAACACACTGCTAATAATTGATGAACTTGCACTTTAATTAACACGGTGAAATGAACTGTCTCTCTGTCGTAAAATGCCTCTAATGGAAACAGCGTGTTGTCTTTTACAGATGCTGGGACGACACGGACAATGTTCCTATTTGGTGGATTATTAAGGGCCCAATTACGGCGTCACTGCTGGTGAGTGTGGTCCCATCGTTAGAATAACTTGAAGGAGGACAGGACTTTGCATTAATGACTTGTACTGTGACTCCTCCGCAGATTAACATCGTCATCTTTGTGAACGTGATCCGGATCCTGGTGCAGAAGCTCAAGTCTTCGGCCATGGCGGGAAATAACGACACGGGTCATTTTATGTAAGTTCTCAGACCCTCCAGCCGTGTCTGCTTTTGTTTTGTGTACAATTTAGCTAGGTCGCTAAAGTCTTAAATGCACCAACGATATAATACAGATTTTTTCAAATTGTTTTCAAGTTTCATAATGCAGTATACACACTTTTTCAGGTGTAGGTTCCGCTCATGGATGTTTTATAATAATGAAAAAGGTTATCTTAAGCTAGGGGTGTCCAAACGTTTTAGTAAGAGGGACACTTTAGTTCATCAGAGTTGTCTTGGGGCTTACGTTGGATTGTTTTGACGGGATTCAGGCTGTTTACGACATGTCTATATTATGACAGAGCTGAAGTTGGATGAATGACAAATGTTTACTACCTTGCCATGTACTTTAGAGTTATGTGAATCAAAAATAAATGTGTCTATATTCAAATCAAGTCAACAAGGTGTAACATGCTTAGATTAGCTCTGCTGAAGTTGGCTTGATGACAGTGTGAACTTCAAAGACTACTCTGGGTTAGCAAGGCAGAGGACCACATAAATTGATATAAAGGGCCGCAATTTACCCCCGGGCCTTAATTTGGACATGCCTGACTTAAGTCGAACTTATACCGCTTCATCAAAGGTTGGATTTTGAGGGGATTTTACTCTTTCTTTAAAATCAAGAACCTTTTCTATTTTAATATCCATCGAGTGCGTCTGGGGAAGAATGTCTCGGACTCTCGGATTATAAATACAGGAGCCCCACAGGGCTGTGTTCTTTCTCCCCTGCTCTTCTCCCTGTACACCAACCACTGCACCTCCAGCCACTGTGAAGCTGATTAAGTTCGCGGACGACACCACCCTCATTGGACTCATCTCCAACAAAGACGAGTCCGCCTACAGGAGGGAGGTAGACCGGCTGGTGTCCTGGTGCAGTGGTAACAACCTGGAGCTGAAAGCCCAGAAGACAGTGGAGATGATTGTGGTGTTCAGGAAGAGCACTATCCCCCCGCCCCCACCCTCCGTGATGGACTCCCCCATCACCTCTGTGGAGTCCTTCCGTTTCCTGGGCACCACCATCACCCAGGACCTCAAGTGGGAGCCGACCATCAGCTCCCTCATCAAGAAGGCCCAGCAGAGGATGTACTTCCTGCGGCAGCTCAGGAAAGCCAAGCTGCCTGCACAGATGTTGGTGCATTTCTACACGGCCATCATCGAGTCCATCCTCACCTCCTCCATCACCGTGTGGTTCGCTGGAGCCACAGTCAGGGACAAACAGAGACTACAGCGCATTGTGCGCTCTGCAGAGGAAGTGATTGGCCGCACCCTTCCATCGCTGCAGGACCTGTACGTCGCCCGAGCTCGAGGCCGGGCTGGTCGTATCACAGCCGACCCCTCTCACCCTGCACATGGACTATTCCAACCACTCCCCTCAGGCAGGAGGCTGCGGTCCATCAGGACTAGAACCTGCCGCCACAAGAACAGTTTCTTCCCCTCTGCTGTTGGACTCTTGAACACTTGTTACCCTCCCCACCCTCTAGAAGTCCCCTCACTGCTCTTTATAAAGTCACTTTACTGCCCATCATACGTCACTTTACCTCACTGTACTGCTGTCACCTTACATTGTGTGCACCATATGCACTGTATATTGTATATAGTAATTGTAACTTTATTTTGATTTCAATTCAAAATGTATTCCCTAGAAGTGTTTTTTATTCTTTATTTTTTATTATGCCTCTCTACCCTTACCTCTCTTTCTGACTGTTGCACCGAGCCAAAGCAATTTCTGTCTTGAGGTCTGTGACCTCCTGTTACTTACGTGGCAATAAAAATGATTCTGATTCTCAGTTTTCTATAAATCCACAATATTGTTTCCTCTGCCGCTCTAACTTGCACATGCATGGGTCCTTGTCCTCTCCCTCTAAATATTTACGACAAGCTGTGGACATAGAGGCGCAGTGCTGCCCTCTACAGTCAGCACTGATTGGTCAAAAAGCTCATACCCACTGCCCAACCAGGGGAGACCGGGATGTGTCACTTCCGCTACAGTTTGGGACGTTCATAGTGCAACCATACGCTAACGGGCAGCCTGATGGATTTCAATAGATAGATAGATTCTTCATTGATCCCCGTCGGAGAAATTCAGGTGTCCAGTAGCAGCAAAAATACAAATTAAAATGTATCATTGTAGAAAGCTAACAATAGTAATAATCAGCAACAGCCCTTCAGATCCCAGCAGCAGAGATGGTGTAGCCTCTGGGTGGAACAGGAGTCAGGACGGGTCACAAGGTGGAGTAGCCGCTTGGTTCGGACCATTTTCTCTGCTAGCTAAATGCTTCATCAGCATTTTTCAAAATGTCAGTATTCCTCCAAAGGATTTTCATCTGATCCACTTGGTTTGGACCATAAATCCTCTCCGCTCCAAAGCTTTCAGAGCTACTTAGGACCTGCAGCCGTTTGTGATGGAATGGGCTTGTTGCGATGATATTGGGTCCATTTTGTTATGATTATCATTGTGAGATCTTGTCATGTCTCTGTGGATGGTCAAGTAATTTAGGTCTTTAGGCAGTGAAAGCTTTACATATTGTCACTTATCAGATCACACTTTTACACAAACACACAACTAAAAAGACAAAAACTCAACAACAACAACAACACATTTAGGATTTAAATAGAAGTTACTGTGTAGCCATAACTGGAGTCATGTCCCACTAAACATAATCTTACAATCCAATTATCTTCCAACTAATGAAACAGAGCTATTATAAATCTGTGCTTATTGTCCCAAAGGGTAACGCACATCTGATTGGGAAACATGACGATAGATGCTTCGCTGTATTCACTGTTATTGCAAACTGAGGAAATTCTCCAAGTTTCAAACACAAAAGATCCAGAAGAAGCTCGTCGCATAATAGCTGTTTTGTTGATTGGCGTCAGCAGTTGGTTTTATTAAAAAGATAAATTTTATTGTCTACTCACTGTTTATAGCCCTGCAGAGTATTTATGTTATTTGGACTTCCTGGTTTTCTCATTTGAAGAGGGACTAAAGGAGAAAATGGAGAGACGTCTGTTTTGTTTTAGGTTTTGAAAATCTCCTGCTGCACCTTTTTTTGAAGCGAGGAAAGACAATTACTGCCTGAGTTCTGTGCAAAGGTGACGCCTCTGCTCACAATAATGTTTTCAGAAATGCACTATAGTTCTACCTCAAAGGAGTAAACTTCAAATAGGACATTATAGGATTTATGATTTTAAGTTACATTTGAAAGATGAAATACTGCACACAATCCGAGCGACAAGAACATTAGATTAGTTACTTTTTCTAACACATACTTTATTGTTTATTTGAGGCTGTTTTAGACGTAGTCACAGTGGGAAGGGTTACCGATGCTTTATGTCTCAGAGGACATTGCGCTGAGGGGCAGTAGCAGGACTGAGGGCAACAGGAAGACCACTGGAGTCCTCTGAACTAATCTGAACTGCAATGTTACACTAGCGGTTTTTATGTTGTTGGAGTTTACATGCAGCGTATGAGAAGTACACTGTAAAAAAGCAGTGAAAAACAATGAGCGAGGGACTACTGTTCACATAATCAGGCTTCCAGTTGTTTGGAGGAACAGCTAGCAGCTAATATCAAAGGATTTATCAATTATTTCAGACAGCTGTTCATGCCGTTTGCACCATTCAAATTGAGTCAACCTGCTTCATTATCAAGGGTAGTATTAATGGACATAAATTCTGACTAAAATAAAACGCCCCGGTTTACTGATGCAGCAGCTGATCTTCTGCAACACAAAAGATTTTACTTTTAAGTGGAGTATTCAAAATGATGGCGATGTTTTAGAAAGACCGCTGAGTGAACTAAAAACAAAACTTCTTGGAGCTCCCCCCTAGAGGATTGCATACTTCCTACAGGAAGCAACAGGCTATACAGGCGGTAGTTTAATATACCGGTACTGTATGCACTAGACATACATGATTACTGCAAATATAACATCACCAGAAAATTATAGAGGGTCTTTAATAAAAACAAAAGTAAGACACACTAATCCAGTCCCATACTTTTGCCTTGAGTTTGTCTCGTCCAGCTTTGTGAAGATATTCTTGCATTCTCACTGGACTGAGCTGATTTGCTGCTGCTGTGGTCCAGTTTTAGAAGAAAAGGCTTTGATTGTGTCTGATGAAAAAGGCCTCTCACACCAATCAGCTAATGCAACGCCCATGCACAAGCCGCCTTACAGTTCCACCTTAAACTTGACCTCCTCAATATGACTTTGATTTTTAAATACGTTGCTAATATCTCACCTGAAATCGGCCTCCAGACCAGAGACACTGACCTTCAGGGCTGTAACAGCAATCTCAGAAGCTTCAATAAAAACCCCTCCAAAAAAACATATGACATGTTGTTCTGCTTTGATGTGTTCCCGTGAGCAGCACCCAGAGCATGTGTGTGTGTTTCCTCAGTTTTGCTTTTATCTAAAACGCAGGAAAAAATGGAAATGAATTCGCCAACAGCTGTTTGATGTGAGGTGTGAAAATATAACAAAACGTTAGTGCAGCTGGACCCGAAGAGCACTTCCCTTTAGCTTTCACTGGAATTTGCAAAACACTGACCGAGGCAGAAGCTTGTCCTGTTTGCATAGAAAGCGCCTGCCCCTGTGGTAATCGGAAATAAATGAATGCCAGCTATGAACTTAACGCCATTATTTTGTCTGTAATATACTTTGTTACATATTTAAACACGTCCAGAGTCAGATTAAGACCAATTTGTTTATCTCACTGGGTCCAATTCCTTTGAGCAGAATTACTGTAGGCATAGAAATCGCAAACACATACTAAGTCCATATTACCAACAAGCTACAAAGACTTCAGCCGTCTAATATCAATAGGGACAAAAGATTTTAAGTTTTGTACACTTTATATTATCACTAGAACTCCGAGTCCAATTGTTGGTTTTCAGTTTTGGAAGTGTTGTTACTACACTTTTTCTCTTCAAAACTACATAAAGACTTGTTCTGTATCTATATATTGTTTTTTTCACACAATCACCAATACTTTAAATGAATACTTTTATTTAATAACTAATGCTAATGAATATGTCTACAATTCGACAGATCCAGGACATCATAATACATTTTTGTAAAACGATGCGTGATGGATGTAACGGACAATCCCATGATCAACTTTCCATCTTGTTATTTTAGATTTTTAGCTTTCTCTAAACTCTCAAATATAATCCCAAAACACCGTTCTCGACACAGAGCTGCTGAGAAGTCAGGCTCAACTCAAAGCATCTGGAGCAAAAATAGCACCGTGTTTCCCAAAATAGACATGAGACTGAGGTTTTTGGACTGTGACGGAATTGTTCCAAAGCGGTTTCGCAAATCTCCGTTTTAGTGTTTGATATTGAAATGTACGAAGATACTGTGCCAGCCGTTGTGTGTGGCAAAAGACAAGTCCCATCTTAAAAAGCTACAAAGGCCAAACGATACTGTTGTGAGGACTGACGTGACTGGCTCAGGTTTTCTACACGGGATTGAAAAGAATATGTGCAATAATCAGGACCGGAAAAATGATCGCGTTAACATGTTACATCAATTGGTCTTACCTAAAAATAATTTGAGGCTTCAGTTAATTTCACCCGCATCTCACCCCTCCCATCTCCGGAGCATGTGTCGTCCCACTGCAGCAGCGTCAAACTCGTCCCAGAAAGTGTTGTGTGCAATGTTTTTCTTCTTTTTTTAATTATCAATACAGGTGAAACTCTGAAAATTAGCTTAAAAGTTAATTTATTTCTGTAATTCAACATAAAGTATGAAATGAATATGATATGCAGCACTAGTATTATTCTAGCCTGGTTGTACCACACCATAGTACAAATTACATTTCGTACTAAGGTCTGGAGGTGCTCCATTGAGCTCCGTTTACAGGTGGGAGGGGTTAACCCGAGTGAGTCGTTAGCATTTAGCCTAGCTTTTGCCATCTCCTTTGCTGCTAACGGAGCCCGTGAGGAGTAGTGCCACAATTTTCTCTAGTGATTACATTTGCCAAACATTACTCTCGCTCCGGCTTCAATTTCTTGATAGAACCAGACCCGGAGTACTTTACTATCGCATTTTTCGCCATTGCCAAACTACAACCTTCCCGTTCGACGCAAACTCTTGACGTCACCCACAACTAACTACAACACCCGCCTCCCTCGCTCGCTGATTGGTTGGTCGAAATTCAAGCGATTGTAATCGCTAATACAGGGACCAGACCCAGACGTTACATGCAGTGAAATGATGATTGAGCGGAGTGTACGGATGGCTAAGGTCAGGCAGTAATTATTCTATTGTATGAAAATTGAACAACAAAAAAGCAACTATTATTTACTTTTTCCTCAGAGATTGGGGTGGGGTAATTGTACTTCTCCCCACTTCCTTTCAAGCATCAGTGTGTAAGTAATTCATGTCTTCCTTTGTGTATGCTTTTTTCTCTCTTTTGTGGTCTTGGGAACCCTATTTTCTTAAAAAATAAATATATAAATGGATACATAAATATAAATATTAGATTTTTACAAGCTGTGAGCCAATTATCAACATTATAATAAACAATAAAGGCTTGATACATCTCATTGTGTGTCTTTCGAGTCGGTCATAAATTAGTTCCACATTGTAAGTTGAATTACAGAAATAAATACACTTTCTGAACAATATTCTAATTTTCAGTTTCATCCGTACTGCACTATTCAGTTTACAACAGTGAATATACACAATTTAACAATAAAACATTCACTTTGTAACACAAATACATACATTCATTACTAAAATAATGGAGGGCATTCGGACAGATTTGAGCTCCATAAATGAGAAAAGCTGTTTTGTCCTGATTCTGGGCAGCAGCAACAACATGTAATTATAGAAGCTGGGTCAAGGAGAGAGTTTTGGAGAGTCTCGAGGCCTGTCTGGTTTATAGACTATAACTTTTATTCTGGCAACGTTTTTCAGGGAAGGCCGTCGATATTATTGACTCCCAGATTTAGCCCCAGACGGATGCAGCGCTGGTTGTTTGAGAATGAATCCACAAACGTTTTCCTTGTGACGCAGAAGCTGATGTCAGAGCTAAATGTCGGCATTTAAATGTGGTTTCCTCGCGTTTGTATTGTGACATTCTATATTTCATTTCACTGATTGACTTGATAAAGCCAGAAAGGTCAGATTTGCAGTTTTGTGTGATAGGAAATTGGCCCCTCACTGTATTTAAATCTTCTTGTATAATAAATCCAAAATAAAGTGATAATGGTACTTGGCATTGCAAAACTTGTTTTATTGCCTCCGTCTGGGTTTCCATCTGGGTTTGTTTGTTTGTCTGTTGAGTTCACATGATCAAGTGGCAGACAATGATGTGAAGGATAATATATTTTCGCAAAAATACAAAACTGAAAATTGTGGCTTATAAAAAGTATTCTGTGTACTCTGGTGCAACCTAATGCCAGATGGTCAAACATTGGCCTAACTAAAGACCACAATAATTTAGAGTTGAGTGTTTAGAATTGTCCTTGACATCACCACGCATCTTTGACTAATAAGCACACATTTCAATCATGACCTCCCAAGCCCCTCAAGTTTCCTGCGTGTGTCACCTGAGTATCTAAAGAATGCTAAATCTTCTCCATGTATCATTACACTTTTTTTCCCCACACAAGGCATTACAAAGCCCCTCACAATCCATATCACATCAAGCATCATGGACAATAAAATCTACATAAACATTAAAAATTACAATCCCACAGGGCATAAAAAACACACCAGAAGATCACAAGAAATATTAAAAACATTAAAAAAAATTAAATAATTCAAAACTTTACTATAGGTAAAGGTACACTATGTAATATTTACTACCATCTGGCGTTGAGATCATATAATAGTAATATTATTAGTGGTAATGCAGTGTAATTGTGAATGCCTACCGCCATAAAAATCCATCAGAAGAAGGGATCAGAACTTGCAGTCCAGGGCACTACGGACGCCTTCGAAAGACAATATGTCGTCTGTGACAGTATCCCTCAACTCTCAGTCGTTCACCAGACTGCCAAAGAAAGAAAAATTTTGTTTGATAAATGACCGGATCTCTAACGTCTCGGGCACTTGACATGTAGCTTAAACAAGACCGCGTTCTGAAGTGGCACCCGCTGCACAGAGGCTGCACTGGGTTCTACCGTGGATCTATTATAATATATTCATGTAGTTTACGTATTGTCCACGTGTGAGTCTGTTGTGTACAAACTACACAATGGGCTTCCTGTTGTGTTAACGCTGTCTTTCGGTGTGTGTGGTTTGCGATGTAGACACTTTTCTGCTATGACGTCGGACTTTTGCATAATCATTTTTTCTAAAAGACTGTTACTCGGGTAGGTATTTTACATAACTATGGTCCTCCATGGTTCCCACTTCAAACTTGTGAGGGCACGGTGAAGCACCTACACCTAAATGCGAATCTCACATCCTTTTTGTCCCTTATCCACCACTGTATTTCAAGATGGTGCATTTACACAGAGTGCACTCCTCTCTCATGGACATTTATAAGTTGAATTCTAAGCCTATGAAAACAATTTAAAAACATGGTGGAGGTAAATATTCTTAAAAAGGTCACTTATTAGTTAACTTGTTTTTTCATAGGAAGCAACTGTAAAAATGACACAGGGTGGCTTTAAAAAACACATGGGATACATGTTAATTGAAAATAAAAATATAAGGTGGGTGTTTATACTGTTAATGAGTTATTGTTACATATGCTAATTGTCATGGGTCCCACAGTATGCACAGCTACTTGTAAGAACTGTTTCTAGCCTGGATTTGAACATTGTCATTGAGTAGAACCCTGTCTCAGATTTCCATGAAGACTTTTCCAGATTGAACATAGTAAGTTCCTGTATGAATGGAATTATAGCTAGCTGCAGTAGTGTTGGCAGGTTATACAGTCTGACCAGTCCAGTTCTTTCGTGTGTGTGTGTGTGTGTGTGTGTGTGTGTGTGTGTGTGTGTGCTTTCAGGCGGCTGGCAAAGTCCACTCTGTTCCTGATCCCTCTGTTTGGGATGCACTACACCGTGTTCGCCTTCCTGCCAGAGACCACCGGAGTGGCAGCCCGCCTCTACATCGAGCTGGGCCTGGGATCTTTTCAGGTACACAAGCCCCTGCAGTATTTACTCAGCTGTCTCTTTATTTATGAACCAGTAAATGTTAGTCTTCTATTCTTTATCTTACCTTTTGTCATTTTGGAACAGCGACAGATGCAGGGATGTCTCCATATCAAAAATATGTAGAATGTTTTGCTTGTTCTGTCATTTTCTGCTTTTGTGTTATCTGCTCTAGTTCAGAGGGCAAATATCTTTCTCTAATCGTCTGTGTGTGTGTGTGTTGGTGTGTGTGAGTGAGTGGATGTGTGACTGTGTGCGCGTGTGTACGTGTGTGGATATGTGTGGGGGTGTTTGTACTTGTGTGTGTGTTTGTGCGTGTGTGTATGTGTGTGTGTGCGTGTGTCTTTGTGTATGTGTGGGGGTGTTTGTGTTTACTTTTTTCTTGTGCGTTTGTAAGGATGTGTGCGTGTGTGTGTGCATAAATGTGAGCGTATGTGTGTGTGTACTGAAGTGTGTGTGTATGACTCTGTGTATGTGTGTGTGTGTGTGTTTTTGCGCTTGTCCATGCGCGTGTGTGCACTTGTCCGTGTGTGTGTGTGTGTGTGTGTGTGTGTGTGTGTATGAGTACGCGTGTGTGTGTGCGGGTGTGTGTGACTGTGCATGTGTGGGGGTGTATGTGTGTACTTTTCGCTTGTGCGTGTGTAAGGATGTGTGTGTGTGTGTGCTTGTCCATGCGCGTGTGTGCACTTGTCCGTGTCTGAGCTGGTTGAGACTTGGTTAAACCCGGGTCTAGTCCTGATTCAGAGAAAGCTGAGCCGCTGAGGCCGCACTCACTGAATTATGTGATGTGTCAGATTGTGTTTCTGTCCAATCATCTCTGACAACCATTGACCATAAATGACATATTTCCACATCTTAAACAAGTCGGATTATTTTGTTACATTGTCTATTTATTTGCTGCGCGCTCATGCTGCTGTTTTGTGGTGGAGATGATTCACTGAGTTCTCATACAGATTAAAGTCGTAATTCATATTTTGTGGCTCTGTGGAGAATTGTTGTGTGTGAAATAACCACACTCTGCTAATTATTGCATCTACAATGGAGGACACTACGATAAAAAGTGTGAGGTCTTTAGATTTATTGCACAATTGTATTATTATTGCGCGGTATTTTGTGGAAAAGGTCGTGTAGTGTTTCTGTAGTTTCTCAGGATGCGTAAACTACATAAAATTACAATTGATCTGAAGACTCAAACGGTACATTTTCCCAAAGAACCAGGAACCAGTCCAACCACGGTGTTAAACTAAATCAATGACTCATCTGATTGCTAAGTTCAACTATCAAGAACAAGCCTTTTGGTAGGGTATTGGGAATTGTTTCATTCATTTGTTCATTTATTTCAAACATGTACAAGATATACAAACAAATATTCACAGGAAAAAGAAATATAAGATTAAACAAGAAAACCTGTGCATGGTTTGCAAAGGGATTGGTCGAAGCAAAAAAACTTAATTTAATCCAATCCCCTCCCAGCCATTCAAACACATGCTACAATACAATAAAAAATAGAATAAAAAATCAACAATACCCTCCAACAAAACATATAACCGCCAATGACACATACACACACACACACACACACATACAAAACCATGTGTTAAAACTAAATTGTAATGGTAATGCCAATACTTTTGCATTTTAGTTATGAGATATAAGAGAAGATACATATTTATTGTGTAAAGATGGAGACATTTGTCTTGGCCGTCATAGTTGCAAGAAACCCGCAGGTAAAGTGACTGGTGAATGTATCAGATGAGTGGAGCATGTAATAATGTAGTAATAATATCAGTGTAGTTAATATTGAAGTAATGTGAGATAAAGTGTGTGTGTGTGTGTGTGTAATGTAAATATGTGTTTTGATGTCCTTGTGTTTGTCTTGCAGGGCTTTGTAGTCGCTCTGCTCTACTGCTTCATGAATGGAGAGGTAGGTCATCTGTTCAATTCTGCGGTTCCAGATATACGTAGTTTGAAATGTTGGTGGAGGGTGGTTGAAAAATATGTACTGATAATTTTGGAAAAAAGTGTCAAAAGTTCTTCTTTGTCAATACATACAGTGGGACAAAAAACTTACTCAGCTTAAAATGATGCCAGTCCTCCCGCTTGAAAAGATGAGAGAAGCCCGTCATTTTCTCTGTGTAAAGTTTACCTCAACTGAGACAATATGAGACAAAAAACAAACAACAGAAAAAAACTTTTTTAACACTTGTGCTATGCTTGGGTCAAATTGACCCGCCATAGAGGAAAAAAAACTAAGTAAGTAAGTAAAATGTATTTGTATAGCGCCTTTCACAGACCAGGATCACAAAGCGCTTCACAGAGTAAAACACATAAAATACACATACAGTATAACTAACCTAAATCATCAATTCTCATAACTTGACCTGCCATTTAGAGCCTTTTAGCCCCTAATTTAGTGGCGGGTCCCCACATCTGTGGCGGGTCATTTTGACCCAAGGCTAGCACAAGATTGGTTTTGCAAAATATGGTGGAAAATAAGTTTGCATATCAATACTTTGTGATACACTCTCAATATCATTTGGCAATGGCAGAGGTCAAACGTTCACAAGGTTTCCATACGCTGTTGATGGTAAGTGATTTTCTTTTCATTTTTCTTATTTTGTCTTTCATAGTTGAGTTATACCTAAAAGACAAGCATCTCTCATCCTTTTGATTAGGAGGACTTACCCTCACTGTATCAACTTGTCTCATTATTTTCCCATGGAGACTAGGAGTAGTGTCAATATTCAAAAACATATGCATGATGTCGGCCCGCAGAAAGGACTTTAAAGAATACTACGGCGGTTTTGTGAATCTAATCAATGTCAAATAATGATCTGGGTAAACATTTGGACATTTTCCTTTTCCCCATTTATTGAAAAAATGGCCTTAACCCACATAGTTGTATTGGAACCCTCTACTTCAGGCATGTCAAACTCAGGCTCATGGGCCAAATCTGGCCCTCAAGAATTGTTGCCTGGCCTGCCAAACGATATGCTTTTTCAAAGACATATAGTCTGGGAACGAGCTTGATCTCAGCGAATTCCCGGTGGGCGTGGTTGACAGACTGCATCAACCAATTAGATGCACACAGGATATGACGCAGCAACTAGCGGCACCCAAGCCGTTTCAGTAAACACAAAACAAGGGATGGCGGCATGTCAGCTAGTGCAAATGTAAACGACTGCTGTCGATTTTGTAACAAAAACTTAAAGATACGAGGAGTTATTAGCAACTCAAAGGTGAAAGGAAGTCCCGCCTCTCGGTGCGTGATTGGACCGATGTGGGTAAAATCGTGAAATGATAGGCTAGGAAGAGGTGTCCAGACGGTTCTTCTTTTGAACAGAAAGGAGGAGTGTCTGGCAGGCCAGGCAACAAGAATTGAGTGGCCCCTAAAATGATATTCAATTATTATTAATAACCTGCAGCATTGAAGATTATGGGTTTACCAAGCCATGTTTTACATCATCTATTCTCTCAGGAAAACAACCACATTTTATTTATTCTAAAATAACATTCTAAAAACACATCATTAGCAGTTAAATAGTTAAATATAAAACAATGTGTTTAACTTTATATTTGATATAGTTTTGATTAAATCTAAACAATAAACACATTTTATTTTAAGAAAAATGTCAAAATACATTATTATGCAAAAAGACAGTTATGAGAAAAACAGAAAATATCCAGTTTTTCTTTTTCTCCTGACCTCAGTGACTTTAACATCCCTGCTCTAAATGAACTAGAAACTACAACATGAACTATTGCATTCGTCCATAAATGTTTTCTCAAACCTGAATCATTTTTAATCTTCTATGATGAGTTTCACTCGACAGTTTGTCTGATGAGAACAAGTTTTCACAAATAAAAGCACATTATTTGTGTTTGAATTGACACATAACTTTCTGATATACACATGTGAAACCTAGCGAGCAGCATTGAGTTAGCGCGATGCTGTGAAAAAGATGAATTGGATTTTGAACCTTTGCGTTTCCTTTGATATCACCACTGTTATAAATAATTCATTTCAAGACAAAAGTCGAACGCTAGACAAATCCTCCTCTTTTGCTCAGACTGTGAGGCTGGTATTAGGAGAAATCCTCGAGAATCTGTCGGCATTAAAAAGCACTTGTGCTATTATCCTGTCTGTACTCTCTTATTGCACTTTCATTAAAGGTGGAAGGACTTTGTTTATGACAAACAGTGATTTGTAGTTTGTCTCTGTTTTGAGAAAATGTAGTAGTAGTTTCTTTGAGAAGTTTACAATGTATTTTTACAGGTACATATCATTTAAAAAACAAAGCTCAAAAGGAGAAGGCTGAAGCTTGTATGTGCCTTCCCCAGTTCCTACTACGTTAAAGCAGCTATAAACAGATCCAGATTTTCACATGACTTTACAGATTTTTTACAATCACCATCATCATCTTTTTGATTTGAACAAAAAACCCCACAGAAAGTCATAAATGTTTGTTCCTTTTTTCTCCACAATAATAAATGTATAGGTTTGTCACTATACCTTCTTACCATCCCACAGTATGTTTTGTTTGTTTGCCCCCTCTCAAAGATTCCACAAGACTTTAATATAAACTACGTCCTAATTGTGTTGGACATATGTGTATCATATGTAAATCTGATGTTCAAGACCACAGGAGATTTTGTGAAGATTTAAATTACAACAATGTGAGAAGCTTACAGTTTGATAGTACTTTGGTAGAATCGCCTTTTCTCTGTGTGACTTCGTTCAAACATTTTGCGAATACTTCCAAAAGCTTTTCATAAGAGTTGGCTGGAACTCTCCTCCAACAGATCCTGTGTCACTGAGGCAGATTGGAGCCTCGCACACTTTTCAAAATTGCCAAAACATTTTCTATGAGATCAGATCAGATTTTTATTGCAACAGTTCACAGAAGGTGGCACCGCACTGAGCAATGATACAATCCTTGGTTTTTCACGACGGAAGATAAGTACAGATTCAGAGGATCAATTTGCATCAGGTTCTCTTCAGGAGCATCAGTAAAACACTGAAGAAAGCAGTATGAATCCAAAAAGCCAAAGTGCCTGTTTCTGTATTAAATGAGAGTACAGTATTTCAGTTTTTTTCCAGTCTCACAATATTTGGAATATATAATACCTGTTTGCCACACGAGACTATACAACAATAAAATAATACGATGCATCCAGTTTTATTCAGCTGTTTTTGGACACTCAACGATACTTTACAGCTTTATTCATTCACTCCATACACAGGGGTGATAAACTACAACTGTAGCCGCAGCTGCCCTGGGGCACACTTATAGAAGTGAGGCAAACCTTACGTGCCATCGCCCCCTCCATCATGCACTCACCAGAGTCATTCCTGGCAATGTGGGTGAAGTATCTCGCTGAAGGACACAGCAGTTTGGCACTTTACAGCCGCAGCCGCCCCATTGTGGCACCTGGTGTTCCCAGAGGTCTCCCATCACAGTACTAACCAGGCCCTGCCCTGCTTAGATTCAAGACCAGATCTGACGCTCACATGCAGGTGGCACCACAATACTCAAGTAAACGCGTGTGCAGATGCTTTTGTATATTCTTTAGTGGTTAGTAGTGACATTGTATGGGAATGTTTTGGAGTCCCCAGTGTCCCTCATAGACAAGGTTAAAGGTACAGGAATAAAAAAAAACTAAAAATAAGTGCAGGAAACAATTGACACTGTGAAATTAAACTAAAACAGTTTCTGTTTCGGTGGCAAAAGAAAAGTGCAGAACTGCAAAAATTATGGCTTTACTAACATGTAAAACAAAGCAAAATCCAAGCAAAAACTGACAAGAACTAAAACAGGAAGAGAAGGAACACACAGGGTTAAATGTAGAAGGCTAACGAGACACAGGTGCAGGGCAGGGCAGGTGATCAGCAAACAGGAAGTAAAACTATAGAAAACACGGGGATTAACAAATGACAAAAAAAAACAAGAAATAAACATAAAACATGACAGCTTCACTACAAGATGTTTGTGGACATTTTCTAACCCCATCTCAAAACCTACCTTTTTAAACCGTCACATGCTTTGTAATTTAAAAATGTATCATATTCTGTACTTGTGTGTGATGTTTCTTGGGTGTCTTGAATTTGTATTGTTATTATGTTTGCGTGTGCAGGTCCAGGCAGAGCTTCGCCGGTGGCTCTGGAGGTGTCACAGTCAGAACCAGCTCACTCCGGCCAAACGCAGCATCACCCAGATCACCATACGGACTCGAGGGGAGCCAGGGGGGCCTGCGTCCACCGGCAACGTCTCCTCTGTGTGATTATACTCTATGTTTGAACTCTGAGACACACGCAATCTATTCTTCCAGGAGAAACGCTTTCGAATCTAAGGAGGTGGAGAATATGGTAAAAATCTGCAAAAGAAGAAAATGATTTTGATTGGAGGTGCGCGAAACTGGCAAAGAGCAAAGTGAGCAGAAAAAACGTTTGAAGTGACTGGGGCAAGTTATAGAGTTTTCCCCAGAGCGTCACGGATGGTATTTCATGCCATGACTGTCAGCGCGAGGCGTACAACGAGGATCCTTCTGGAACAAAAGACTTGAGTACGGACATTTTTTATCAGAACAAAAACTGTTGCCATGTTGCCATACTTCAGGGTGATGTGGTTTAGAGTTTTAGCCACTATTGTGAAGAAATAAAACAGTTCAGCTGGTTGCCATTATCACTGACAAAACAAGGAAAGTCGTCATTTTAATATGGCCACCATTTCATCATTCCTCTGGTACGAAGACTGACATTTATTGGATGAGTGAATCACAGCTCATTAAAAGCACCTTACATTGACATTGACATGCTGGTGTGTAGATTGGACTGAAATAATTCAAATTCCGGTCGGCACAGGCCCTTTCTGAGTGGAGTTTGCATGTTCTCCCTGTGCCTGTGAAAGACTCTACAGTCTGGGGTCAGTACTCCCCTGGAATAGTCTGAAATCGCAGTTTTAAGATTTTAAGATAACAACCAATTCATTTCTGTGCAAAAATAAACGTTGGTGCTTTCTATGTAAAAAAATAAAAACAAAATCTAGTTTAGCTTCATTAAGTTTATTTTAGATTTTTGTGGTTTAAATATTTTTTTTCTGCTTTAATCGCTGGATATTCCACAACTTTGATGACATTCATAACTAATTACAAGATATGACTGCTTCAATTATACAAGAGAGTCCATTTGCAAAAACATATATCTCTGTTTTGAAAAATGATCAAAAAGTTGTGTTCCTCTAGTTACACTCTTCAACCTGTTTTTATTATTTTGTTATCTGCAGTGTATACACTTGAAATAATTTGCTCAAGAAAGGGTGAAACTTTATTGGTATGGCACTAAAATAGATCTGGCTTTTCCAAAAACTACTTGGTAATGGGAAAATTGTCAGTGTTTAAAATATTTGTCTCATGTCACATGGCAAGTTTATTTGTATAGCACAGTTCATACACAAGGCAACCCAACGTGCTTAACAAAATAAGAAAAGAAAACAAGCCATTATGATCATAAATAATCACAGTACATACACAAATGGAGGATACAATCCCTCAGTTGTATGCACAGCGAAATAGAACTGTTTTTGACCTGGATTTGAACATTGTCAGAGTAGAAATAATCAGGAAGATCTGAAATGCTGCCTCCCCATGTTCAGGCATTACACATTCCAATCTTGCTTGAAATAGTACGACAAAACATGATGAAAAACAACACACACCTGGCTCAAATCTGGCAAAAGGTACCAACGTTTTTACTGCCTTAAAACAAAGGAAATGTATCTTGTTTTAGAAAGATACAAGAAATCTCTCCTTTGGAATGAGAAAAAGCAAAAGTTCTTGAAACAAGGCTTAAAGACTTCCTCCCATTGGTAAATGTAGTTTTATGACAGTCAGAATATACTAAATTAAGATAAAAACCATCCCATTCAAGCATTTAATACCTCATATTTGATCATTTTTGCAGTGTATTGTGTTATAAAGGGTCAGAAACTGCTTGAAACTAGTCAGAAAGTGATTACCATCTAGAAACACGTAGTTGCTGGTGTTTTTTGAGTGAGAAGGCCGTGACCCTGGGCAAAGTCAGGTTGGGTCATGTGTTTGTGCTTTCTGCTGTTTTAATGAGCTTTCGGACGAGAGGCGGCGGCCGTGTGTGTGAAGCCGCTTTAATCCTGTAAATTGAACTGGAGTGATGTCCGAGCCGCTCTGATCAGAAGAGAATGCTAATGCATGACGGATGTGGGAGGATTTAGACGCACTGGTCGGTCTGCTGGGTCCACTATCATAAGTCAACAACACCACACCCATCTGGTTTAAAAGGAAAAGTCAAAAATTTATCAAAGTTGGCCTTTTAATTTGAGCATATTTTTACTGCCTTAAAAATAGATTTGCCAATGATACAAGCAACATGATCTAGTTTTAAATAGATACAAGAAATGTCTTCATTGAAATGAGAAAACCAAGCAACAGTTCTGGAAATAAAACTAAATGCCCATTGGCAAATTTTGTTTTAACACAGTCCTAATGTATCAAATTAAGATAAAAACCAGTTGATGTAAGCAATTTTTACCTTATTTGATCATTTTTGCAGTGTATGTAATAAAAACCCATAGCTCTCAAAACTCTTCCATCACTAGTCTCACATGTGTGTTATTGGCCTCTCACTTCTTTAGATCTGCTTTTTCAGACAGAAATGTGAAAAAGAGAGGACCACCCACTTTTTTTATTAGTTTTTTATAGCACAATTCATACATTAGGCAACTTAAAGTACTGAAAAAAACAAGATAGAATCACACAAGGCTTTAAAATAAAGCAAAAATAAGGCAATGAAATCCTAAATACTTTTTGTTGTTGTTGATTGGCCTGGAATGCTTCACAGTGTGACATCACATTCTCCATCTATATTGCAGACCCGAGGAGAGCTGATCCAATGCAAGAATTTAGGCTTTTTAGCGGTGAATTAGAAAATATGTATACTGTACATTATATTTCCCATTGAAATAGCTCCATGGCAACAAGCGGGATGTGGACCATGTTAGAAAAATGTGCACATTTCATTTTTTATGAAATCTAAAGTCTAGAGCAAAAACTTTGAAAAGCAATGGATTATTTTCTATGGAGTATGTCTGTAATTCAAAAGATGTCTTGAACTCTGCTTTCTAGTCACTGGACTCGTTCCCACATTAGTCTTAGTCTTTGTCTATTTCCGTTCTCACATTCCTCTCCTCTTCTCCCTGAGGACCGCTATCGCAACCAGTTCTGAAATTGTTTTATTTTTTAATTTTTTTGTAAGTAAAATTGATGCATGTGCCCTACAATAACTTTTTATTTGACGAGCACTTTTCTTGTTATTGGGATCGATTTTAAATGGTTTGAATGATGACCTCTATTGTCGGGTCAGTTGTTTGAATCTTTTGCACTTTACTTTATCACATTTTTTTTTATTTTAACTCGCAGTATTATTGTATGAAGTTCAAACTTAAGTTTTTGTTTTATGTTTGAGAAGAGGTTTTTAATCCCAGAACAACAACTTTCTATAATAATAATACCGGTTATTGTGTGAAGGACTTCATTCTATTTTCAGTCTGTTTTTTCCAAAGTCAAAACGTGAAATACTGTAGATCTGATTCTACATTTGGTCTTGCGGCTCTAGTTTCATTTATTATAAAGTAAAATGCGGCTGCGGGAGTTTGGTTCATAAATAAGACTTACTCACAGAAAAGACAAATGACTTCTAGGAGTTCTATATTCTTCTGTCGAAAGATGAATGTGTTTCTGTTTTTGTCAATACTGCTGCTGCTGCTGCTGGTGTTATGGTTACATGACGGAGGCTTGTTATGTTTGTATTTCAATGTATTTTACCTGAAAATTATTATTTTACTCGTTTACACACAGACAAAACCGGGCTTGATCAAAATTGTTTGCGTACATTATTTTATTTTTGCACACAGTTTTGAGGAGAAACGCTCAGAGCATGCATGAAACGTCACCATACAGATTTTATATTATTTCTATCCTGATGAGAAATTTGATAACGTTACAAAAACAGCACAGCACATGTCAGTTTAATTGTATAGCTCATTTACAACCACACCAGCTGCCCAAAGTGCTTCACATGCACCACAGACAGAAGATATTTCAAACAGGATCACACACACAGCAGTATTTTAAAATCCTCCAATGAAAGAGTCTCTCTAATGTTCAGAGGTAAACTATTCCACGGTTTGGAAGCAGCAGCTAAGTCTCCTCAAGTTTAGAAACGAGACCAGGGCACGACAACAAAAGCTGTTTTTCTGACCTCACTGATGTGTCCGGAGCCTTGTGCATCTTTCCCAATCCTCTCTTCCACCCACACATCCACTTGGATCATTTATTTAGGTGACACCTCTCATGAACTCAACTGAATTGAATAGAAATGACTAATTAGGAAACTAGTATTTTGTGCAATATCAATTACGGAAGCTTTAATTATTATTCTTACCTTTCCCCATTAATGTTATGTTTACAACTTGTGCTAATATAAAGCTCAAAGCCTTGTACAGATGTGTTTCGCTCGCTGCACAAATGAATGTATGAACTGTAGAAAAGGCGAGTCGTGTGAAAATAAAGTGGTTATTTATCTGTAAAATGTTGTACAGAAACAAATATGACTGTAAAATAAAACTCAAGTGATTTTTTTTCCCCCCATGTCTAGTGTTTTATCTTGAACCGATTGTTAAAAAAAAGACACAGAGCAACAGCGCCCCCTAAAGGCTAACGATGCTATAGATGTGTTATTAGTTTGTGGCTCCATCAGAATCAAAATCAGAGTTAGTCACAAACCAGGAAATTGCTTTGGGTCTCAGTGCAAACAAGTTAAACAAGTGAAAATAGAATCTGGCATCTGCATAGAAATAGAAATAATATACAAATCTACAAAACATTTCTTAAAATCGCTACAACATACAGGTGCACTAAGTACCCTTACATTTTTTTAATTGATACGATACAAATGCACTAGAACTGGTACTCGGAGAAGCAGTGAGAATCCTGCATCAATGGACTTTATAGTTGCATGAGACTTTACCAAATCCACTTTTTTACTTTGAATGAACAAACGTAACAGTTCTGTTTGTGATAGTTGAAATGGACTTATATATGTTTGTTTTGCAGCAGTTGTATTGATACAGAGGTCAACAATGCATTTTTTGGGGGAATACTCGTGTAGATATTGCATTTTCAGTCCCTTCCAGAGGTTCAAAAGTCAAAAGGATAATGCATTTTTGTTTAATATTAGAGGAAGAATACAT